ACTGGAAGCACGGCAAAAATTCAGTTTTCAGATCTCCGGTTTGATAAGAGCGTCCTACCTTGACACCACCTGGTCCTCTGCCCGCTCCTCATCGTACAGGAAGCGGTGCATCTTCTCTCTGTAGTTGTCCCTGGTCAGGGGGGTTTCTTTGTTGTGGGCTGATCTGTGGACTAGACCCACCAGTGGGGGCTTGTAGAGCTTTAACATCTCCTGTTCTTCGGTTCTGGACGAGCAGGGGATGATGATCCTGTTCCCTCGGTGCCAGCGCTCCGCGCTCTGAACCGAGGCTCTTTGGTCTGAACTGGATTGTTCGGAGTCGTCAGATGGAGGCTGTCCCACTCTGACTTTGAGTTTCTTTAAGAGTACGGGCCTCATGTCAAAGTCCAGCACCAGCCACTGTTCGTACAGGCCTGCGTGGACGGATGTGAAAGTGACAGTGATGGAGTAGGTGATTTCTTCCCTGGGAACCTGCTCCCCTGATGCGTACACGCAGGGAGCAGGACTGCTATCACCGAGGCTGAACGAAGCTCCAGGTTCCTCTTTCAGCAGCGCCACGTGCACGAGCTCTCTCTGCCCAAACACAAAGAGCAGGCCGTTATAATCACACATTAACGTGTCACATCTGCAAAGGCTCTATTCTTTAACTCATTGGCTGCCAAAGACGTCTATAGACGTTAATTCAAATACAACCGTTGACTGCCAAATACGTCTATAGACGTCTTCTATGTTTTTCAACGCAAGTAGCTTGGGGGACGATCTGCTAAAGCTTGTCCGTAAATATGGGCTTCTAGACAGAGTATGTAGTAACAAATTGACCCTCTAGGGGGCAGTGCCACTTTTGATGGGAGATGAGCATAGACTGTAGGCAAATAAGAAAAAGGGAACGGTTCTATGAGAGAACATGTCGCCGGTGAGACGCAAGTCCAGGAAGAGCGGAATAAGGTAGAAACACATTTTTTTCCTGATAAAAGAAGAGAGTCTACTCTTTCTTTTGGTGTGTTCGGTGTTTACATAGTCATAGCACAAACTATTCTGTGGGTCTAGAAAAATCAGTCAAAATGCTCAAAAATCTCTGGCAGTATGGGACTCTGTTCTGAAAAAGGCTGGCAGTCAATGAGTTAAACTGTGCTCCATACACAATATGTCCGATACTTGAAACACAAAGGAAGGTTTGTAATGATGGGAGGGCCCTGCTGCTGGTATCAAAAGATTACACGTACAGAATGTTACTCCCAGTTTCCACAGAATGGGAGTGGTGCCCTTCTCTGCCTGAGTCAGGGAAGGGCACGGCGGCGGCCTTTGTGACACAACCGGGAGTGTTTCAATGCAAACATTATCCTGTTCAAAGTACAAAAGCCGCTCTGACATGAGCTTTGATTTCAACTGAGGATCAGGAGGAGTCCCTGACCGAACACTCCAAGCCTTCATCTGTGTTTGTGATGCTTGGCAGCTACCACCAACACTGTGGGGACAACTTTATACTTTTGGAACCAAAATGTCAAATCTTCTGTCATATTCTGGCTTAATTGTCTGAGTGCAGTGGTCCCACTCAAATACGCGTTCAGATCAGGTTTGGATTTGGGGGTGGAACTTCTCCTCGTGCTGTTTCTCTAAATGGGTCCAGCTATAAATGAGATCTACATTTTGTATTCTGGGATAAAGTACCCACTTGAGTACTTTGTGTCTCGCAGTCAGCCCGGCTGTAACAACTGATTTGGCACAGGCCCAAAAAAACCCTGTGCGCTATATATATATATATATACTTAAATCTCTTTTTATTAAACACAAAACAGAGTTACATTCTTGGCTCAAGATCTAGATTTTGGTGTTTTAAACATTTCAAATTGCACCCCCTACCCCTAAGAACTAATGTCCGTCTACCCACAAGATCAATAAGCAAAAAAACATTAGAGAGTCATTTACATACACATATGCATCTTAGACCATAAAGAAAAGGAAAGACAAAAAAAGTAGTTATCATGACAAATACAAATACAACTAAGGAGTAGTGAACATTAACCACAACATTAACCACGTATATATGTATATATGTTCCCACCATACATAACAAAGGGGGACAGAATAGCCTTATTCCCTTTAACTTCTGTAGGTCTTTCGATTGTTTACTCTTAGGGATTCTCAGTAAGTGTCTTGAGCTTTTCAAATTATTTTAGTAATGGATTCCGAATACCATAAAAACGATCATTGGATGCTCTTAGTGTCCGCTGCATTTTTAAGCTAAGATTCAATAACTTACCTCCGTCTCCACTCTAAAGTTCCACGTCAGAGTTGTGTTGGTGTCGTCACACTGTGCGTTTAATGCTTCATCACAGGAGATGCTGACATCATCGACATGCTCCGACATCTGTTTGAATTCAGCGTATAAATCACTCAGTGCTGGGATCTTTACTGGGAATGTGTTTGTGTGTGGGCTAAAACCTGGGCTCCTCACACCGTGTGTTTGGACTGATTTTGTATTTTGTGATTTTGTGTTGTCTTTACTTCCTGCCTCAGGACGACAGATGTAAATTAGCAACTATGCTATAATCTGGCTCATTTACAATCTGTATGAGATTGTTCATTAATGTGCACTGTCCTGATTAACCTCCTGAGACCCTGTGTCCTCATAAGAGGACGTTGCATTTTTGTCTCTCTTTACCATGATACTTCTTTTTTTCTTTCAGCTTTGACCTCTTGGCCTCATAGCAGATGCTATCAGACACTGTTTGAAATCTAAAGTAAAATGGTTTTATACATTTCCATCCAATCATGTTCTTATTGTGTAATAGAAAAACTGTAAATGAGTCAATGGGACTGTCAGAACAAAATTGTAAAAACATTTAATTAAATATGTATCTCATATATCTTTAAAAAAAAAAGCTAAAATGCATGCCAAATAAAAGCTCGGGTCTCAGGAGGTTAAATAAATAAATTAAAAATTAAAAATAAAAAAAATACTCACGATGTAGACTTCATTGCTGCTGTTTCTGTACTCGTCCAGCAGCCTCTGGTTGTAGCACATGAGCCCCTGAGCCTCCATGCTGGATCGGATCTCCACCTCCTCTTCGGCGCGCATCATCCACTCCTTCAGCTCCTCCTCAGAATGGGCCTTTGGACAGTTGTTGCCATACTCACAGGATTCTGGTCTGGGATGGACAGATCAACTTCACAGTTAATTGAGGGCCGTGAGTAAACACACCTCAGGATATCCTCTGATAAGATCAAAAGGTTTGCCAAACAAGTTTAACTGCTAGTATTTCCTTATGCTTTATGCATTCAAAATGTCTTTATTATAGGAGATCTAAATGGTAGCTGTCCAACCGGGAATTACCATGCCACAAGAAATATATACAGAGAAATATATACAGAAAGAAATATATCCAGAATAAGGTGAGATGGAGGACATTGTTGTTAGACTCATGACATACAGCTTTTTAACTTTATTCTGAATGCAGCTAACTTCTACTTCCTGGTTGGCCTGTCTGGAATGCGGTCAGGTCGGAAACGCATCTCAGGAGTGTGTTAGAATGTGGCTATGATTACTCACTTTAGCATAGTATGCTATCACATGATCTGTGTAGATTACTGATTGTTTTATTTCCTTATAGAACTATATTTTGTGTTGAAGTCTCTGGCTGTGTCCACAGATTCTCTTTTCTGTCTTTTTCTCTCTCTGTTGCATTAGATCCACCTTTAGGTCAACACACACACACACACACCATTTGTTAGCACATTCCTGTCATCTGCATGAATTAGGACCTGGCCTGTTTGTGCCCAGAGGTAACTGGCCAATAGGACTTGGTTGTGTCCAGTCCTCCTTTGAGGAGGCGGATGGAGCCCAGGAGATAATGCCCATCACCCAGATCTCAGGGCTCTTTGCCCACTGAGACCCAGAGAGAGGTTTTAGTCTGTTAGAGCCCACTGATACACTTAACTGTGTCCAATAAATGTCCTTTTTTATACTTTTGATCCACTCTGGCTTATTCTCAGGTTTACAACTAAAGAACAATAAATATTATTTTTGTACTCTTGATCCACTCTGGTATGTTCTCAGGTTCCCAACTAAAGAACAATAAATGTTATTTTTGTACTCTTGATCCACTCTGGTATGTTCTCAGGTTCCCCACTAAAGAACAATAAATGTTATTTTTGTACTCTTGATCCACTCTGGT